CATTCTTAGTGATACTGATGCAATAGCGCCTTTCCCAAAGTATAAGCTTGACAGAATGACAACAAAGAAGGGAAGAAGCTGTGCAGAAAAGTTGTAAAGGCTATTCCAATATGTTCTTGGGCGATTCCACACACGTCAAGAAAGCTTTCTCATATTCGTTCTTTCGAACCTAATACCCCACCCCTTCACCATTTAGCTTTCAGATTATGGGAGGATCTTGTGCACACAATGCCGAAAAATGATTAAAAACAATATTATGAATTGAAATTCCTTTATACAAAACAAACATTAAACCCTCAACAAAAGTCCGGCATCGCGTGTTTGACCCCTACCCAGGATGCGTTTTTTAGTAGAAAGCAACATCGTAAAATCAAATCTAAACACAATGAAGGAAGGTATAAACCTAAAGCAAACCTGTTTGAAATGCACAAAACGACGAGCAAAACGTGTCAGCTTTGCCCAAGCCGACATCCGGACAGCAGTGAAACAACCGACACGATCACTTCTTAAAAACTGGGATATTATTGTTCTTTTGGTATAACAATTCTTTTGGTATAATAATAGGCCAAAAGTTACCTATATTAGGTATTACTGGGTATTTATTATTACCTAAGGTAAAAAGTCAAAAAGATAGTAAACAAGTTGAAGCCACTTCAATATAGGACAAAAAAAGGGATTATAAATATCGAACAACTTTGAAGTCACTAACGCATAAAAGAAAAGCAGAAAATAAATAGTATTAACGAAAGCAAATACGGCAAAGCTAGTTGAAGAAAAGGAACAAAAAGGAAAACTCACGTCGAATACGTCGAATAGCTTCCGGGTGTGGCAAAGCCACTTCTAGTGGTTGTCGTTCCAAATCGAAACTGCTTCTCCGCAGAGGGTGAATGTAATCCAGAAGTTCCCGGCTGATAGGCAGACGGACCTAAAAATAGGCGCACGTTACACACGAGTTTGAGTCTTGAATATCATGGTCTGAGAAATATTTAAACTCGTTCATTTGAGCCGCCTCAGTTTGATGTTCTCCCGTGCACTGTCCGCGGCTCACGGCTATTATCTCACACACTCAAACTTTTGCACTACTGTAATTTACACCCTATCCTGAAAATCCTTTCCCACAAAAGCCTAGGCTTGGGCTCCCACCTTCCTCTTTGGAATTTAGAGCCGGGCCAAACACCGTTCTCTATTTCGTCTGGACTTTAGCCACTCGTGGCAAAGAAGACGAAGGAAAGTTTAAGTAGTCATGTATCCATCGTTCTGCCACAAGATTATTAGTTGGTAGACTTTATAATAGCAATATTTCGATCGTCGTTTTCAAAGGTCTGAACATGGCTCAAAGTTTAAAAATGCACACCACTTTGACTTGTTTTTGTTTACTAACTGCTGTTTTTGGCCGCAGTTCGCCTTGCGAATGATATGTCAAAAGTTGAAAAAACAAAGCACATCGCTTTGAACGCCCAATTCCATTGAACATCTGGCGTCGTTCAATGGAATTGGGCGTTCAAAGTGGTGCGCATTCTGTGTACTGTACGAAATTCATTCAGAACTCATAAGCTCACCAGTTTCGACCGCGAAGTTAAGCGCAACGTTAGAGGTTCCCTCCCGGCAAAACTATGATTCTACTTCAGCCATAAATCACTGACTTGGGACTCATCATCCACGATAAAGAATGAAAAGAACAGAAAAACTGCATTTGTTTTGTAAAAAAAATCGAAAAACCGAAAGGGCTGCTACGCGTTCAAAGTACCGCCGCACATCTGTCACAAATGCTGGCGACGGGAATGCTTCCACTTGGTTCTTGGAGTGCCTTCACTAGAAACTCTTTCTGGCCTTTTGACTTTTGCATTCACATCTTACACTTCTACTCCATCCTATTCTATCGATCGATTTGTCTACTCTCCGAAATCGCGCGCTTTAACCCGATTCTTTCATTGCGTCGCCTGATACGTAGCCGGCCAAGGCCACTTCTTTCCATGCCTCGCCTTTGGCTCCGCCCGAATTACCTTCGATGTCCATAACGTAGTTTTTGTACGTTTGTTTCTCTTCGGAAACCGAATCTTCATGCGTGAAACTTTGTGTGCTGTTTCCAGTGATCACAACTGACACATTCATGTTGAGAATGCAAGAATTTTCCGCGAAGGATTCCTTTAACCAGGCCAGTGCATTCACATACGGTCGAAACAAAGAGAACATGTGGTGCGACAGTTTATATCATCCAAAGACGATGGAAGAATACTCAAACATGGGTGCGAAAGCAAAATGGTTCTCGCACCCCGAAAACCTCCGCCTTCTGCGAATATTGGAATTCCTGTAAGCGGCAGTAATATCGCATAGAATTATCCCTTACCGAATGAGACATTATGAAAACCAAAAATATATTTAAAAGAACACTGACCCGTGGTTCGCAAGTTGCCTTGCATCGAATATTCAGCCAGTTTATGAGTTGTGTCTGATGTAGTAGTTCAGGAATTTGGACAAGCTTATGCCTGCAAAGGTACTTAGACGACATAAAAATAGAGGAGATAGTAGACCGCCGTCACAACAGATATCACTAGTGATCAATATGGAACAGATGGAAACAAAGATCAAAAACAAGTGGATTATATCGTAGTATCTTTATCACATATCAATAACAAATAGACCCATTAATTAAAACTAGACATGGGCAATCAACTTCATTGCCGGACTCCAAAAACAGCAAAACAGGAGCAGCGACGAGACCTGAACGAGAAAAATAACTACAACTTCGAAAAACTTTCTACTATCTAATAATCACACAAAAAAACTAGTTCTTCTCAGCCATTCTTACGCTCGCATTTTGGAGTCATGCTCAGATTTCACCGAGAATTACAAGTTTATGCAGACACGATTGAGGCATAGATAGGAAGTTTGAAGTAAGAATTTTTATGATGCTTCTTGTTCTGAGCAACACAACTCTGAAAGCCATTTACCCGCATCTCCCCTTAATTCCATTTGAAACACGCAAGGGTTACATAGTAATGAGGACGTACTTTACTTCTCAAGTAAACGCTGATAGTTGACAATAAAGAGCAACATTTGCTTCTATGAGCTCAAGAAAATTATCGTATCACTGAAACTCAATGCTACTCTCACGGCCAAAGGAATTTCGGTGCAAATCCTAACT